CCTGATCCAACATTGGCTTCTCTTATGTTCTTATGCCTCTTTATCGATGGAGGCCCAGGTCACAGCGGTTGCCAAATCAGCCTTTTTTCATCTTCGGCAGGATCGGCAACTAGTTCCCTACCTTTCATCCCACAACTTGGCTATAGTGATCCATGCAGCAGTCACTTCCAGATCAGAGTATTGTAACTCACTCTACATGGGCCTATCCTTGCGCTTGATCCGGAAGTTAAAGGTGGTGTAGAATGCAGCAGTGCACCTGCTGTCTGTGACACCCTTGCAGGTGCACATTTCAGCCAGTCCTCTGCAGATTGCACTGGCTACCGATAGAGTTCTGAATCCAGTTCAAGATTTTGGTTTTAACCTTCAGGGCCCTGAACAGTCTGAGACCAACATACTTGCCGGACCACCATATTTCCCACGACGGGCCCTAAGATCGGCCAACTTCCATTGACTGGTAATCCCTGTCCTCAACTATCTGGCCTCAACTATGTCCAGGGCCTTTTCAGCCCGGGCCCCAACCTGGTTGGAATGAGTTCCCCATTGAGATCAGGGCCCTGCAGGACTTGCTACAGTTACGCAGGGTCTGTAAGATGGAGCTATTCCACTGGGCTTTTAGTTGAGGCAGAGGCAGGGCCGGCCCGCCATTGATAAATTTTAGACCGTCGCCTAGGGCGCCAGCTCGACGAGGGTGCCACTCTGGCCTGCCTGCCACCCCACCTTCCCCATTAGGTCCTGGGCCACATGTCCTGCTGGCGGGCTCCCTTTCCCTCTGCCAGCCAGCTTCATCCCCTCCTCACCCTGCATAGGAAGCAAAGCACCCCAGTGCGTGCCTCCCTTGCCGGCTGGAGTGCCTCGCTCCCGCAATTCAGCAGCACCATTCGGGGAGGCAAAGAAATGCACATACCCCGCCACCGTAACCCTGGGCCCCTGGGGAGCCTTTGGCCAGCTTCGGCTCTTCTCTGGGGAATGCAAAAGGGAGGGGTAGGTTTCCCGCGAGGTCTGAAGTGGCTTTTCCTCACTGAAAGCAGAAGAGCTGCAGAGGCTTCCTGATGGGGTGGGAGGTGCGGGTGGTGCACCGTGCAGCTTTCCCGAAGCCTCAAGAGACCCGTCCTTGCTGCAGTCTCCTCCACCCCATGCTCTGCCCAAAGGGGCTGATGACGTTGCCCTGCAGGACTCTGGGGGGAGGGGACTGGAAACTGGCTGGCTGCTGCTTGCACATCTGAGCGCTATCCGGGAGGCCCGGAGCGCCCCAAGAGGAAGTGGACATCCAACAGAATCGCTCCTCCTTTAAAAAATCTGCTTAAGTCTGCTCAAACTGCCTAAATTGTTATCTGAGTTGTTGGCTTAACTATCATCGAGCAGACTTATCTATTAAACATCTGAACAGACCCAAGGATTATTATTCCACCCTCTCCAGACTCCACCTTTCAAATCCCCAGGGGTCCCACCCCTCCTCTAACCTCACCCTCTCCAGGCTCCACCCCTCAAATCTCCAGGAATTTCCCAACCTGTAGTTAGCAACTGTATGTCCTTCCCAGTCAAGCATCAACCTGCCGTTATCTGCTCCTGACTTTTCAGCTTTCTGTATCACCACCACCACCTGCAGCCTCTACTGTGCTCTGAAGCCCTGACTGCTACGTCACATTGGCATAGGGAGGCCATCTCAGCAGAGTATAAGGACACAGAGTCCACCATTTTCTCCAGGGGAACTGTTCTCTGCCATCTGGAGAGCAGTTGTAATTCTGAGTGATCTCCAGCCGTCACCTGGAGATTGGCAACAATGGTCCACCAGGAGGAAAAGTAGTCTTTCTCTGCAATGGGGACCAAAGCAGCTTACATCATTCTCCTCTTCCGCTTTTGACTTGCACAACAACCCTGTTTTACTGACAGAACCAAGCTTGGTTGCCTAGCAATGTTCATAGTTTATTCTGACAGGAAAGTGGCCAAGCTGGCAGTGGGTGGGGGAGGGGTTACACTGAAAGTCTGTGACTGGTCCGAAATCATAGCTTCCACAGCAAGAATATGGTTCTGGCCAACCCTGCTCTGAAGCGCTAACTGCTATGCCTAGGGTAGCCACCCTCCAGGTGGAGCCTGAAGATCGCTGGATATCACTACTGAACTCCAGACAATAGATTCTTCCCCCCTGGAGAAAATAACTGATTTGGACGGTGGCCTCTATGGCATTCTATTCAGCTGAGGCTCCCCTCTCCCCTCCCCCAACTCTGGCTTCCTTACACTGGCTTCCTTAGACACAGAATATCCAGGAATTTCCCAACCTGGAGCTGACACTCTAACCACTTCACCATTTATGTATTGCTTGCATAAGGAAATAATAAGAGTGCAGTGGCTGTTTCTCCTTGGGGGGAAGGAAGCAGCTTAGTATCGGTTGAAGATGTTCGACCCTTTCTCGTCTCGATACTTGGTGATGGTGGAAGATGTTTGACCCTTTCCTTTCTCCATTCTAAATCACCCCCAGCCTTCCCACTGAGTTATGTGAATGTTTGCCTCTCCAGACAAGGAGCACTGAAGGCAGACTACTGATAATGGGGAATGAAATAGAGAAATGGTAGGGATAGGAAGGATTGCCAGTGCAACCCTAAACAAAATTACACCTGTATCCATTTAAATCAATGGATTTATGTGTAACTCTGTTTAGGATTACTCTGTAAGACACCTGTTCCTCACTGTCTGTCTATTCCAAGTATTTCTCTGAAAGCTGTTTTTCTGTAGGAAATAGCAGCCACTGGGCGTTTTGAAAAAGCTATATTCATGTAATGCATAGCTAGGCCCTGAGACATCACTGCTTGCATGCTGATAAAAGCAATTCTCATTTTAAGCAAACACAGAGACAGTACCTGAAGGATCAGCTTTATGCCTTCCACAATCACTTGGAGAGGTACTCATGAATGATGGTATTACAGTGATGATAACAGGGCAGCACTCATGAATTGCAACATGTTGCAAAGCACTGTTACAATTTAGAGTGTATTTATTTTACTTCAGTGGCACAGTCATGTTTAGGGGTCATAGATGTGCTCTTCTTGAAACAATTATATTGAGAGACTGTTTTAATTATAAACCCGTTTTATCAGAAGGAGAGCTGTGAGAGAAAAGTTGATTCCAGATGGACTGCACTTGCAGCACCCAAACTGAGCCCCACTGGGTAGAGAAAGTAGTGCGGGAGAAGGTCCTGATCTGAACAAGGCCCATGTGGCATTTGAGAAATTAGTTCCCAGCTGCTGCTGCTGGGTGACATGTAAAAAATGTCAAGTGTGGACGTAGTTCCATCATGCACCTATAGAACTTTGAGTACAAAACAATTTAGCCACACATTCATAAAGATGGGAAATATGGGGGGGGGGGACACTTACTTTTTAAGCCATGCTAAACATATTTTACTGATTCATTTGTGATTTAGCTGGAGTTATTGTATAGTTATTTGCTATCTGTTTAGAGACTTTCCAAGGGTCTTCTCAGAGAAGAGGGATTGTTTTGCCAATACTTTAGCCTAAAAAAGAGAAGATTTTTTTTTTTGGATTTTATATGTATCTAAAAAACCCAATTTTCTCCTTTCCAGCATGAATTTTTTGTAAATTCTTTTGGAGCTTGTGAGTTTATGTTTAACCTGTAAAGCAGTAATTGCGTGTATGAGATAATCTCTGATTTCTTGCTGCTCTTTTTTCTTCTTAGATGTTACAGCTATAGCTCTTGGATGAGCAAGGAAACTGAATCTATGGCCCTGTGAATATTACACAACAATTTTAAAGTTTTTATAAAGAGTTATTCTCTGATTAATCCATCAGCAATACAGTAGCTAAAGGCTTTCCTGGGAAGTATTTTCACAAAACGAGCATGAAGAATTGTTAAACCAAAAAATCTCTACTGAAAAAGTAGAGAAAGCTATTAAACCTCTTTAAACAAATAACCCCCTAGAATACATGGCTTTACAGGAGAATTTTACAAAAAAAGTTGTCTAATTTAGTAGAACCTCTTACAAATCTTTTCAATTTGTCTTTGGACATAGGCATTCCTCCAGCATCAGGGAAGCAATTACTGTTGTAATTCCTAAGCAAGACACGGACAAATTAACTCCCGAAGCATTCTACCCTATAGTGCTTCTAAATGTAGATTCCAAAGTTTTTGCAACCGTTCTAGCATCTAGACATAATATATTTATCTTCAAGTATATTCATCCCAATCAGCATGGATTTGTACCGAACGGGCAGCTTGCAGATAATATCAGGACTTCGTTAAATGCCATTCACCACATGCATAGTACGAAACATAAAGGAGGACTTCTACTATTTGATGCTGAAAAAGCTTTTGATCGGGTTAACCATGAATATCTTGTTCTACTGTTAAATCATATGAAGGCAGGTGATAGGTTGACTTATTGTATACAAGAGTATTATACAAGCACAGAAATGCGAATATTGATTAATGGTTCTTCAGATTTGATCCCACTGACTAAGGGAGTAAGACAAGGTTGCCCCCTCTCACCAATTTTATTTTCACTATATATTGAACCCTTTGCTGAAGCAGTTCGGGAAAGTAAAGACATTCAAGACATTCAAATTCATATAGAGTTTAAGATTCCCTGTTACAGATTACCTTATCTTTCAAAATTAGATGTCTGTTTCATTTACAACGTTTTTACAAGACTTTAAACTATAATAAATCCCAACTGCACTATATTACTCAGCATTATGGTATCAATTGCTAAGCAACATATTGGAGGATCTTGGGTGCTGTGTGGCCAACCACATGCCCCCTGGATCCGTGTCCTTCATGGCTGCTGAAAGCTGGTGATGAGAAGATACGGGGCCCACTGAAGGACATTATCAATCTGTCCCTGGAAACAGGGGTCTTTCCAGAGGGTCTTAAGGAGGCTGTGGTGGTACCGCTCCTAAAAAAGCCATCACTGGATCCATATGATCCAGCCAACTATGGCCCAGTATTGAACTTACCATTCCTGGGTAAGGTAATTGAGAGAGTGGTAGATGAGCAGCTCCAGTTTCTTGGATGACACATCAGCATTGGATCCATTCCAGGCCGACTTCTGCCCTGGCCGTGGAATGGAGATGGTGTTGGTCACCCTAACAGATGACCTCCGTAGGTAGAGTCATATTAGGAATTTCAGGATACTTGGATATCAAATTAAACATCATATACATTTAGCTTATTAATTGTTGACAAAATTAGTTACATTTAAACAAATATGTGCTTGGAAATAGGCATATAATATACACAAGAATTATTTTATATTCTAATAAAGTGCGGCCCAATCTGTAGACACTGAAATCTGCAAATCGGGGCCACGCTGACAGAATACAGATGGTTCTGGAAATTTGGGAGACCCTCCAAGTTTGCAGAAAAATCTTATAACATTAAAAAATACATTGAGGGGTTTAAATCCCCCTGTTAATTAGAAGCACATTGGGGAGCATATTCCATGGGTATGGTGGCCCAAGGAGGATGGGACCATTTGGAGGAAACACAGTACCAACTGGCTGGAACTTCAGGTGGTCCGGCGGGAGTGCAAGGAAGCCCCGCGAAGGCCCTCCCTGGCCCGAGGCAGGCAGGGGTGGGGAGAGGCAGGGAGGAAGCAACTTACCCTCCCTCTTCTCCTGCCTCCTCCTGGCTGAATGAGGGCCGGAAGCGGGGTGGCCGGAAGCAGGGGGCGGGGCTTCGTCATGTGCCCCGCCCCCGTACCTCACCCGGAGGAACTGTGATCCCCCGCGATCCCCCCCGAAATGACCTCTGGTGACACTAAATCATTCAGCGGTAACCTTTGAACTGTATGTGAAGATATTCAATCCAAACATTTAATCAAGAGTCTAACCATCTATATCTATATCTATATCTATATCTATATCTATATCTATCTATCTATCTATCTATCTATCTATCTATTTATCTATCATCTATCTATCATCTATCTATCTATCTATCTATCATCTATCTATCATCTATCTATCTATCTAGATATAGATATATGCATCCACATAATAGTTAGTAATATCACTCCCTCGCTAATGTTACTATGTTAATAAAATTGCAAACAATCATTTTGTATATCGCAGGACTGTTATATTCTGTCATTGTCATCGTCATCTGTCATCAGTATATCTAATTCTCAAGAAGGTACCAGAGGGAGGCAAGGAGGGAGAGCTGAAGACTGGGGGTGGGGTGGGGCTAAATGCAGGTTGGCGGGTGTGTGGGAAAGAAGGAAGGAAGCAGGAAAAGAGGAGAGGCCATGTGGTCTTTTGGAGGAGGGGGAAATAGTGTGAAGGGGAATACAGGGGAAAATGAGATGCTCTCTTCAAGTCTGTGGGTCCCAGTATTCTGTTCCGTTCCGTTCC